TGATGCTGATGATGATGATGATGATGATGATGATGATGATGATGATGACGATGAGCAGACGATGAGGATGTGTCGAGCGACTTGCTGGTTTTAGCAATCCTAAGGGGGGCCGCCAGGGGTATTGCACGGCCTCCGTTGGCGCCCAAATGGTGGGGACGTCTCAGGCGGTTTGCTTGTTTTGGTCCCTAACATCCTCCGTTCTCGGAGCAGATGTTGAGGATGTCTCGTGCGCCAGGGGTATTGCACGGCCTCCGTTCGCGCCCAAATGGCGGGGATGTCTCAGGCGGTTTGCCGGTTTTGATCCCCAACATCCTCCGCTTTCGGAGCAGATTTGGAGGATGTCTCGAGCGAGGCGCTCATGCTCGCCCCCCAGGGGGGCCAGAAGTTGAGGATGTCTCGATCGGTTTGCCTGTTTTGGTGGCCAGACTCGTGGGCACATATTTTCCCCAGGATGCTACAGGAGGCTCCAGCAGGCTCCAGGAGGCCCCAGGAGGCCACATGAGGTCCCAGGAGGCATCAGGAGACCACTCGAAGACCCAAGAGGCCACAGGATGTCCCAAGAGGCTCCAGGAGGCCCCAGGAAGCTCCAGGAGGCCATCAGGAAGCCGCAGGAGGCCCCAGGAGGCCACAGGAAGCGCCAGGAGGCCTCGGAAGGCAACAGGAGGCCCCGAGAGGCCCCAGGAGCAGGAGGCCTCAGAAGGCAACAGGAGTGGCTCGAATCCCATGTGTTGTACGTATTCCGTAGCCATTTTGGCTCAAGTTTGCCTCGAGTCAACGAATTCAAACATACTGAACACATCGGTACCGTATTGTGCCCCATAGCATGTTGCGGCGAACGCGCCTTGCGACATCTCGATATGGAGTGGTGGAACTTATCAAGCTATTGAGTTTTCTTCCATTTGCGGCGTCATTGGCGCTGCCCTCAGTCGCTTCTCATCGCGAGTGTAAGCCGGAAGCGACAACTAAGTATTCAATTCGTTGGGGCGCGAAGCCCTCAGGGATGGGAAACCTATGGGAATACTATCACTTCTTGATCGATTTTGCACCAGCTATGTTGCACTTCATGCGCAACGACAGCGCGCCCTGCAAAAGTTTGCAGGTGCCAGACTGGCGCAATCACAAGTTCCTCTTGGCGTTGCCGGGCCAGCCGCAGAGGAGTATGGAAGCGCACTTTGAGTTCCTCTTGGGGCGGCCGTTGGGTCTGACCATCGAAGTCGCCAGCAGCTTTGAGGCCTTCGCGGCGAACGCCAGGACGTCGAGGCAGGTCGACTGGGACTGCCACGGCGCAGGCCAGTCGAATGCGTGGTCTGGATTCCCCAAAGAGTACTTCGTGGAGTTCCGGGACCACGCCTGGGGCCTGCCCGGCGTGCCGCCAGCCCGGCACCGGGACGTCATCGCTGTGAAGCGCGGATACCTCCAGAACTACACGGGCCCACCCACGGGGTGTTCTCGTCGATGCCTGGACGAGCGCTTCTACTATCGCCTGCTTGAAGTTTCGCTATCGCACGACTGGGACACGTCTGTGGTGGCGCTGGAAAATCAAGCTATTGCCGACCAGATCGCCTTGTTTTCGCATGTGAATGTCATTATTGCGCAGCATGGCGCCGCGCTGTCGAACATCATCTTTGCACCTCCAGGAACGCTGGCCGTCGAGGTGGGAAAGGCCGACTTTCCATGCTTCCAGACGTTATCTGCAAAACTTGGGTTACCTTTTCTCCATTACGGTAAGTATGAGTTTTCAGACCACGTTGCACAAGGCATCTCGAAAGCGTTAGCAGATGACGTCGGCAGAGGCGACAAGCAGTTAAGGGAGCTTCGCGACGTCATCGGGCGGTTCGTGCTGCCTCCACAGCAGCGCGCCTCCCACGTGCGCTGCCCCGCTTTCGCAACGTGCGTGGGGCAGCAGTTCGGGCAGTAGTAGAGGTAGAGACTTCCCCGCCCTGTCTGTTAGGGTTACATCAGCCACGCGCGCTCTTTGGGTGGGGCACTTCGTATCGCCAGCCTGCATTCTGACAGCCGGTGGGCGCCCCGGGCCAGCGGAATAATTTCGAGCGCTGGTCCCAGCAGCGGCCACTGTCATCGGCGGTTCCGTCGGTTGGGTAGGCCATCCCTACGGGGACTGCGGGGAGCGCTTTTGCTCGCATCTTTTTCCCCTCCTCCCCGTCCTCTCTTTGGGGCCGCGAGCGTTTCAGCCCGCTCGTGTGAGGTTGCCAAGGCCGGCTCGCGTGCTGCCTAGCGCGCCTCCCACGTGCGCCGCCCCGCTTTCGCAACGTGCGTAGGGCAGCAATTCGGGCAGTAGTAGAGGTAGAGACTTCCCCGCCCTGTCTGTTGGGGTTACATCAGCCACGCGCGCGCGGTGGGTGGGGCACTTCGTATCACCAGCCTGCATTCTGACAGCTGGTGGGCGCCCCGGGCCAGCGGAATAATTTCGAGCGCTGGTCCCAGCAGCGGCCACTGTCATCGGCGGTTCCGTCGGTTGGGTAGGCCATCCCTACGGGGACTGCGGGGAGCGCTTTTGCTCGCATCTTTTTCCCCTCCTCCCCGTCCTCTCTTTGGGGCCGCGAGCGTTTCAGCCCGCTCGTGTGAGGTTGCCAAGGCCCGTTCGAGCCCTCGCTTCTGTGCGCACGAATCTAAAAAAACAAATCCCATGTGTTTTACGTATGCTCCCATAGATTGGGCCTCACCTGGAGCACGACTCCTTGATGTTATACGTATGTTTCTATAGATTGTCCTTCTCCTGTGTACACAATCCTAACTGTTTTACTTATGTTCCTATATGTTGGGCCTCTCCTGGGGCACGAGTCCTTGGTGTTTTACGTGTGTTCCTACATATTGCCATTCTCCTGTGGATCCAATCGCAATGTTTTATGTACGTCTGTTGCTATATATTGGGCCTCTCCTGGGGCACGAATCCTCCCTAGGAGGTCCCAGGAGGCCCCAGGAGGCCCCAAGAGGCTCCTGGAGGCCCCAAGAGGCCCCAGTAGGTTTGAGGAGGCCCCAGGAGGCCCCAGGCTGATGCGCAGAGACGCGCTCGTACCACTGAGGCTCATTCACACTCCAATTCATCCGCAGTTAGTTTTATGACCAGACCGTCACAACTCAAGCCCGTTTATATTCGAAACTTCTTGCGCCTAGACGCTAACAGCGGACAGGTCCATGCGAATAGGTGCACATATGGGGAGCTCCACGCAGTGAATACTTATTCTCCGACCGCGCCGGACCAAGAGAACCCCTCCCCTCCTCCCTCTCTGCACCAGACAATGATGATGATTGTCGTGATGATGACCATGGTATGGTGAGAGTAGGAGGTGAGTAGGATGGTGATGGTGAATGATGGATGAGTATGGTGATGGTGCTGATGATGATGATGGTGCTGAAGATGTTGATGATGATGAGGTTGTTGATTAGGATGATGATGAGGATGATGATGATGCTGATGGTGACGATGATGATGATGCTGCTGATGATGATGATGATGCTGCTGCTGCTGCTGCTGATGATGATGATGATGATGATGGCGATGAGCAGATGATGAGGATGTCTCGAGCGGCTTGCTGGTTTGAGCACTCCTAGGGGGGGCCGCCAGGGGTATTGCACGGCCTCCGTTCGCGCCCAAATGGTGGGGATGTCTCAGGCGGTTTGCCTGTGTTGGTCCTCAACATCCTCCGCTTTTGGAGCAGATTCTGAGGATGTCTCAGGCGGCTTGCTGGTTTTGCACTCCTAATGGGGGGCCGCCAGGGTCATTGCACGGCCTCCGTTCGCGCCCAAATGGTGGGGATGTCTCAGGCGGTTTGCCTGTTTTGGTCCTCAGCATCCTCTGCTTTCGGAGCAGATTCTGAGGATGTCTCGGGCGAGGCGCTGGCTTTCGCACCCCAGGGGGGCCAGACTTTGGGGGCGCCCAGAGTCTGAACAGCACTTGTTTCAGATAGGATGGGGTTCTTGCTCCCCATATCCAAAAGATGGGGTTATTGATATTCTCCGACCGCGCCGGACCACCCACCCATACCATGATGATGACAATGGTTTGGTGAGAACATGCTGTGAGTATGATGGTGATGGTGATGATGAATGAGCATGTGATGATGATGATGATGATGGTGGTGGTGGTGGTGGTGATGATGATGATGATGGTGATGATGATGATGATAATGATAATGATGAGGATGATGAGGATGATTATGATGACGATGGTGATGCTGCTGATGATGATAACTATGATGATGATGCTGATGATGCTGCTGCTTCTGCTGCTGCTGCTGATGATGATGATGATGATGATGATGATGCTGATGATGATGATGATGATGATGATGATGATGATGATGATGATGATGACGATGAGCAGACGATGAGGATGTGTCGAGCGATTTGCTGGTTTTAGCAATCCTAAGGGGGGCCGCCAGGGGTATTGCACGGCCTCCGTTGGCGCCCAAATGGTGGGGACGTCTCAGGCGGTTTGCTTGTTTTGGTCCCTAACATCCTCCGTTCTCGGAGCAGATGTTGAGGATGTCTCGTGCGCCAGGGGTATTGCACGGCCTCCGTTCGCGCCCAAATGGCGGGGATGTCTCAGGCGGTTTGCCGGTTTTGATCCCCAACATCCTCCGCTTTCGGAGCAGATTTGGAGGATGTCTCGAGCGAGGCGCTCATGCTCGCCCCCCAGGGGGGCCAGAAGTTGAGGATGTCTCGATCGGTTTGCCTGTTTTGGTGGCCAGACTCGTGGGCACATATTTTCCCCAGGATGCTACAGGAGGCTCCAGCAGGCTCCAGGAGGCCCCAGGAGGCCACATGAGGTCCCAGGAGGCATCAGGAGACCACTCGAAGACCCAAGAGGCCACAGGATGTCCCAAGAGGCTCCAGGAGGCCCCAGGAAGCTCCAGGAGGCCATCAGGAAGCCGCAGGAGGCCCCAGGAGGCCACAGGAAGCGCCAGGAGGCCTCGGAAGGCAACAGGAGGCCCCGAGAGGCCCCAGGAGCAGGAGGCCTCAGAAGGCAACAGGAGTGGCTCGAATCCCATGTGTTGTACGTATTCCGTAGCCATTTTGGCTCAAGTTTGCCTCGAGTCAACGAATTCAAACATACTGAACACATCGGTACCGTATTGTGCCCCATAGCATGTTGCGGCGAACGCGCCTTGCGACATCTCGATATGGAGTGGTGGAACTTATCAAGCTATTGAGTTTTCTTCCATTTGCGGCGTCATTGGCGCTGCCCTCAGTCGCTTCTCATCGCGAGTGTAAGCCGGAAGCGACAACTAAGTATTCAATTCGTTGGGGCGCGAAGCCCTCAGGGATGGGAAACCTATGGGAATACTATCACTTCTTGATCGATTTTGCACCAGCTATGTTGCACTTCATGCGCAACGACAGCGCGCCCTGCAAAAGTTTGCAGGTGCCAGACTGGCGCAATCACAAGTTCCTCTTGGCGTTGCCGGGCCAGCCGCAGAGGAGTATGGAAGCGCACTTTGAGTTCCTCTTGGGGCGGCCGTTGGGTCTGACCATCGAAGTCGCCAGCAGCTTTGAGGCCTTCGCGGCGAACGCCAGGACGTCGAGGCAGGTCGACTGGGACTGCCACGGCGCAGGCCAGTCGAATGCGTGGTCTGGATTCCCCAAAGAGTACTTCGTGGAGTTCCGGGACCACGCCTGGGGCCTGCCCGGCGTGCCGCCAGCCCGGCACCGGGACGTCATCGCTGTGAAGCGCGGATACCTCCAGAACTACACGGGCCCACCCACGGGGTGTTCTCGTCGATGCCTGGACGAGCGCTTCTACTATCGCCTGCTTGAAGTTTCGCTATCGCACGACTGGGACACGTCTGTGGTGGCGCTGGAAAATCAAGCTATTGCCGACCAGATCGCCTTGTTTTCGCATGTGAATGTCATTATTGCGCAGCATGGCGCCGCGCTGTCGAACATCATCTTTGCACCTCCAGGAACGCTGGCCGTCGAGGTGGGAAAGGCCGACTTTCCATGCTTCCAGACGTTATCTGCAAAACTTGGGTTACCTTTTCTCCATTACGGTAAGTATGAGTTTTCAGACCACGTTGCACAAGGCATCTCGAAAGCGTTAGCAGATGACGTCGGCAGAGGCGACAAGCAGTTAAGGGAGCTTCGCGACGTCATCGGGCGGTTCGTGCTGCCTCCACAGCAGCGCGCCTCCCACGTGCGCTGCCCCGCTTTCGCAACGTGCGTGGGGCAGCAGTTCGGGCAGTAGTAGAGGTAGAGACTTCCCCGCCCTGTCTGTTAGGGTTACATCAGCCACGCGCGCTCTTTGGGTGGGGCACTTCGTATCGCCAGCCTGCATTCTGACAGCCGGTGGGCGCCCCGGGCCAGCGGAATAATTTCGAGCGCTGGTCCCAGCAGCGGCCACTGTCATCGGCGGTTCCGTCGGTTGGGTAGGCCATCCCTACGGGGACTGCGGGGAGCGCTTTTGCTCGCATCTTTTTCCCCTCCTCCCCGTCCTCTCTTTGGGGCCGCGAGCGTTTCAGCCCGCTCGTGTGAGGTTGCCAAGGCCGGCTCGCGTGCTGCCTAGCGCGCCTCCCACGTGCGCCGCCCCGCTTTCGCAACGTGCGTAGGGCAGCAATTCGGGCAGTAGTAGAGGTAGAGACTTCCCCGCCCTGTCTGTTGGGGTTACATCAGCCACGCGCGCGCGGTGGGTGGGGCACTTCGTATCACCAGCCTGCATTCTGACAGCTGGTGGGCGCCCCGGGCCAGCGGAATAATTTCGAGCGCTGGTCCCAGCAGCGGCCACTGTCATCGGCGGTTCCGTCGGTTGGGTAGGCCATCCCTACGGGGACTGCGGGGAGCGCTTTTGCTCGCATCTTTTTCCCCTCCTCCCCGTCCTCTCTTTGGGGCCGCGAGCGTTTCAGCCCGCTCGTGTGAGGTTGCCAAGGCCCGTTCGAGCCCTCGCTTCTGTGCGCACGAATCTAAAAAAACAAATCCCATGTGTTTTACGTATGCTCCTATAGATTGGGCCTCACCTGGAGCACGACTCCTTGATGTTATACGTATGTTTCTATAGATTGTCCTTCTCCTGTGTACACAATCCTAACTGTTTTACTTATGTTCCTATATGTTGGGCCTCTCCTGGGGCACGAGTCCTTGGTGTTTTACGTGTGTTCCTACATATTGCCATTCTCCTGTGGATCCAATCGCAATGTTTTATGTACGTCTGTTGCTATATATTGGGCCTCTCCTGGGGCACGAATCCTCCCTAGGAGGTCCCAGGAGGCCCCAGGAGGCCCCAAGAGGCTCCTGGAGGCCCCAAGAGGCCCCAGTAGGTTTGAGGAGGCCCCAGGAGGCCCCAGGCTGATGCGCAGAGACGCGCTCGTACCACTGAGGCTCATTCACACTCCAATTCATCCGCAGTTAGTTTTATGACCAGACCGTCACAACTCAAGCCCGTTTATATTCGAAACTTCTTGCGCCTAGACGCTAACAGCGGACAGGTCCATGCGAATAGGTGCACATATGGGGAGCTCCACGCAGTGAATACTTATTCTCCGACCGCGCCGGACCAAGAGAACCCCTCCCCTCCTCCCTCTCTGCACCAGACAATGATGATGATTGTCGTGATGATGACCATGGTATGGTGAGAGTAGGAGGTGAGTAGGATGGTGATGGTGAATGATGGATGAGTATGGTGATGGTGCTGATGATGATGATGGTGCTGAAGATGTTGATGATGATGAGGTTGTTGATTAGGATGATGATGAGGATGATGATGATGCTGATGGTGACGATGATGATGATGCTGCTGATGATGATGATGATGATGATGCTGCTGCTGCTGATGATGATGATGATGATGATGGCGATGAGCAGATGATGAGGATGTCTCGAGCGGCTTGCTGGTTTGAGCACTCCTAGGGGGGGCCGCCAGGGGTATTGCACGGCCTCCGTTCGCGCCCAAATGGTGGGGATGTCTCAGGCGGTTTGCCTGTGTTGGTCCTCAACATCCTCCGCTTTCGGAGCAGATTCTGAGGATGTCTCAGGCGGCTTGCTGGTTTTGCACTCCTAATGGGGGGCCGCCAGGGTCATTGCACGGCCTCCGTTCGCGCCCAAATGGTGGGGATGTCTCAGGCGGTTTGCCTGTTTTGGTCCTCAGCATCCTCTGCTTTCGGAGCAGATTCTGAGGATGTCTCGGGCGAGGCGCTGGCTTTCGCACCCCAGGGGGGCCAGATTTCGTGGATGTCTCAAGCGGTTTGCGAATTTTGGTGGTCAGACTCGTCTGCTCTCAAAGCAGATTCTGGGGATGTCTATGGCGAGGCGCTGATTTCCACACTCCCCAAAGGCCCAGATTGCGAGGATGTCCTAGACTCACTTATGCTCAAACTCACTCGTGCTCAGGCTCACTCATACTCAGACTCGCACTCATCATACTCATACTCAGACTCACTCACACCCAGACTTACGCACACTCAGACTCACTCACACTTAGACCCACCCACCCTCAGACTCATTCGTAGTCAGACTCACTCGTACTCAGACCCACCCAGGGCCAGCTTCATATCCATCATACTCATACTCAGACGCACTCACATTCAGACTTACTCACGCTCAGAATCACCCACACTCAGACCCACCCACCCTCAGATTCACTCGTAGTCAAACTCACTCGTACTCAGACCCATTCAGACTTAGACTCGTACTCACTATACTCATACTCAGTCTCACCGGCTTTCGCACCCCAGGGGGGCAGATTGCGAGGATGTCCCAGACTCACTTGTGCTCAGACTCGCACTCATCATACTCATACTCAGACTCACTCACAGGCCTCCGTTCGCGATGTTTCGCGCGGTTTGCCTGCTCGCATGCCCAAAATCCTCCGCTTTCGGAGCAGATTTGGAGGATGTGTCGAGCGAGGCGCTCATTTTGGGGGGGCCGCCAAGGGCATTGCACGGCCTCCGTTCGCGCCAAAATGGCGGGGATGCCTCGAGCGGTTTGCCTGTTTGCATGCCCAACATCATCCGCTTTCGGAGCAGATTTGGAGGAGAGCGAGGCGTTCATTTTCGCCCCCTAGGGGGGAGGGCCAGAATTTGAGGATGTCTCGGTCGGTTTGCTTGTTCTGGTGGCCAGCCTCGTGGGCACATATTCTCCCCAGGAGGCTCCAGCAGGCTCCAGGAGGCCCCAGGAAGCCACATGAGGTCCCAGGAGGCAGCAGGAGGCCACAAGAAGATTCTCGACACAGCGCTACCGCTTGCCCCATTCCCCAGCGTGACCAAGACCCCCTGCTACATGGCCCCCGGCGACACTCGCTTCAGCGCAGACCGGAAAACGGCCAGGTACAAGTCTGATTATTGCTACAGGCCCAGCCTCAAGCACAACGACGGCGGTTGGCTTGACGACAATATCCGCTCGTATCTTGCACAGAACGACCTGCAGGCGCACGCCAACGGGTTTGACTGCACATGGCCGCGCGGTCAGTGCTGGACACACGTGGTCGAGAAGGAAGGACACCAGCTGTCCCCAGACCACTCTCCACGAGAAGGTACAGGATTTTGAAGTCGCCAGGAACCCCTCCAGGCCCCCCCCCCGTGGGCACACTATCCCGTTCCGCTTCCCAGCACACGTTCTCGGCGCCCCCCCTCGCTGCGACCTCTGGCGCCCTCGGCGATTGCCTTCTGGAGCCCTCAGGCCTCCATGCCCCAAAGAATACCAACACCACCTTGCCGCCCACGCGGCTAGAAGACGACATATTTGGGTATATGGCAGCTGAATCCAAGTGCTACACTGCCACGCGCGACGGGTGCCCACCCGGTGCCCCCCTTCTCTCCTGGCAGGCAGGTGCGCCTGCGCTCGGCTGTTTTGCACGCAAGGCTGACGCCGAGCCGCGGCGAACGAGCGCGGGGGGCCTCTCGGCGTGGGAGGACCGCGCCGTCGCCTGGAACAACCGCAGCTGGAACGCCGCGTGGATTTGCCGTCAATGCCTTGTTCGCGCATGGGGCGCCAAACCTAGCGCAGTTGACGGAGTGCTCGACCGGGACACCCGCCTGGTCCACCCTCGCTCCCCGACCTCCAAGCCGCGCTCAGCTCCGCCAGTGCCCGACGAGCCGCCGTTATCCTGCGAGCCCGTGCCCAATCGTGCCTCCGCTGCCAAGCTTGTCCCGCTCAGCAAGAACGGAAGTGCGTGATCGCCCTGGGCCAGCGCGGGCGCCCCCCCGCAGCGCGCGGGGCCGAGGAAGTGCGCGGCCCCCTACCTAATGTGGACCCCCCCCCAAACGCACCGCCGCCGCCTGGAGGCCGCCGAGGAGTCGGAACGGAACCGCCTGAACGCCAGGCCCATCGAGGGCAGACTGGTCGGTTCCCCGCGCGACTTCGATTCAGTTTTGGACGACCAGTGGACAGCATATGCCGCTGAGCATGGCAGGGGCGCGGTGGGCTCCGAGGCACCAGAATGCTGGGACCCTTCCCTACTGCGCCCCTTGAGGGTCTACGGCGACTTGGTGGCGCCAACCTACCTCCCCGACGACTTCCACTGGCAAGGCGTGCGGCAAGCCGCCGACCGCGCGGTCGCGCGCCTCTGCGTTCACTCGACCAACCCCGCCATGCTGCCCAAATGGTTCCAGAACGCTGGTCAATGGCCCATGCGCGGTCCTTCCCCTCGCTGGAAGCCCCGCAGGAAGCCCTCGTTGGTTTCTTGACGCAGGTCAGTTCAGATAAAGCCGCCGCCAGGTAATTCAAGGAACTGTCCAAGGACGCCCCCTTCATGATCACGCAGGACCTGCGCAGACAGATCGACAACACCCTATCGGGGAACACAGTGACAACGAATGGTGGGCACGGTTCGGCGGCCAGCACATTGAGACGGCAGACCCGCCGACAGAATTCCACGTCTGCGCCGCCCGCACACCCGAAATCCCCGACTGAGGCAACGACGTGGTGCGTTCCCCCGCGACGCCAGTACGGAGCGGCACCGGCCCTCCCTTCACCCGCGGGGCCAGCTCTCGCCCCCCCGACGATAGCCACCCGCGGCTTGCGAGCCCAACCGCTGACACATCTGTCATCGACGCAGTAGCCCCGAGCCCCCCAGCGCACCCCCCGAGCAAGTGGCCAACTCGGCTAGCCTCCCTCTCGCCACGGGAGACGACGATACCGCCGGCCCCAAGGGCGCTGGCTCGGAAACCTCGGCGGCTGGCTCCCGCGACGGCAAACCCTCCTCGCAGCGGGGCCGCCATGGGGCGCCCGCGGCCCTGCCCCCGACCCCGAATCGGAGCCCCCGGTCGTGCAGATTGACTCGTCCGACAGCCCCGAGGCTGCCGGCAAGTCCTGCAGCCCCACCTCGCCCGTCGTTGGCCCATGCGCCTCCCCAGTAATGGCTGGGCAGATGCCAGGAACATCACGCGCCTCCCAGAGCGAGGGGCCCCGCTTTCCCCAGGCGCACCCCGCAACCGCGAGCTGCCAATGCGACGCGGGGCGAGTTTGACTGGGGCGAAGGGTGGCGCGAGCGCCGCCCGCGTCGGCATCGCGAGACCAGCCGCAGCAGCCCCTACGGCGGCCACTGGACAGGCTGGGCAGGGTGGTCCAGCTGGGAGGCCGACGACCGCTGGAGTCGGCCCGCGCGCACACAGGCACACCCCATCCTCGACGACCCCCCCGCGCCCCGGTCTGGCCCATGGCCGCCCTACACGGGTGCGCAAGCCGATTTCTTGCAAGACCTGTTCGACCCGGACACAGGACCCTACATTTACAGCACACCGCTGGACCGAGTCGACATCCTGAACCCCGTTGGCGAGGCTCCTGCCGAGGCCGCGAAGCGACTTCAGAGAGACCTGGGCGAATACTTCAGCGGAGTACGGCACCAATGGACGACCAAGCATCCCCCGCCGTCGGACCTCATCTGCGCTGACCCCACGCGTCAGCACCCCGATTCCTGCGTGCGCTTCTTCAATGGAGTGGACCAGTCACAAGTGCGATGTCTTAAAGATGGACGAAGCGCTCCGTCTGGGGGTCATCTGGGGCGCAGTCCGCGCCCGGTTCAGCGACAGAGCTAGGGCCGCGGGCACCCCTGGCAAGGCCAAAAGCAAGGGGCCCCGCGAAGACAGCGACCCCCGTTGGTCAAGGACGGCGAAACCT